CCCCCCCCCCCCTCCATCATAGTGGTGAGGAGATCATGAGGGCATTTTCATTTTTGGGTGAACTATCCCTTGAATATTAAATAACGTAATGTATAAATAAATCTGTCACCATCATCGTGATGAATTTTACTTTACAAACCATGTAAAATCAGAGCGAGGACATTTCCTACATACACACACACACAAACACATAAACACACAAACACACACGCATACACGCACTGGACTTTATCAGGAGGGGGCTCTTAAAGAGACAGGAGCTAAAACCAAGTGTTAGAGACAGAGGCTGAAAAGAGGAGCTGCAGCGATGGACAGCCTGAGGAGAGAGATAGAGATGAAGGGAGCAGACAAATGAACTGAGGAGTTATCGTCAGTGATGGTAGAGGATGTGAGGAGAAGCCGTCTTGTTGTGATCATAGTCCACGATCTTTAAGTTGAAGATAAAACATTAAAACATCAACATAAAAACTGAACCAAAGGCCACGTGGCTCAAACACAACAGTTCCTGTTCCTGACAGATTCACTGAGTTTGGTCTTGTTGTGTCGTCCAGATCAACCACTCCTGGAGAGACGAAGCTGTTGGCGTCTGAGATCTACGAGCTCCTGCAGGCGACCTGCGACGCGGACTCTGAACCAGCCGAGGACGTTGTCAGCAGCCGCCGCAAAGCCCAGTTCTTCCTGGGCTCCAGCAACAAGAGAGCCAAGACGGTCATCCTCCACATCGACGGGCTGGATGACTCGGTGAGCAGGCGCCGAACCACTGAATTATAAAGAATAAAGAAATGTTCAGAGGTTCAGGGTGAAACTTTGTTTTGGTCCTCGTCAGAGTCGGAGGAGTCTGTGTGAGGAGGCCCTGCTGAAGATCAGAGGAGTGATCAGCTTCACCTTCCAGATGGCCGTGAAGAGATGCATCGTCCGGATCCGTTCAGACCTGAAGGCCGAGGTGAGGCGAGATGTGGCGGTGATACAAACTGTTTACAAAGATTGAGCTGCACATTTCTTTTTCTCCAGCTCAAACTGAAAGTGTTGATATCATCAAAATTCAAACTGATGAAGAAAATGTACTTTTAATATTCACTTGTTTGAATTTGAAATATGAAATGTGAGCTGCTTTATAAAGAGAAAGGTTTAATTTTTAATAAGATCATCTGGAAGTATGTGACTTTAATTAAAGCCTGGTGAGCAGGTGATTGTCAATGAGTGAATCAGATGAAGTGATGAATCGTGTGAATGGTTTTCGTTTTCAGTCTCTGGCGTCTGCGATCGCCTCCACTCAGGTGATGAGCGCTCAGCAGGTGGTGAAAAGAGAAAACGGAGACGAGGTCAGTTTCAGCTCAAGTCTCTTCGGTGTCCACGGGTCACAGGAACAAAAACTCACGAAGAAAAGCTTTAAAATCATGAACGAATAATGATCCTGAGCGTCAAGTCTCCTGCGAGTCCAGTTTATTTACATCCACATCGAGAGCAGCGTTTTCCTGTAGTGTCGGTCAGAATGAGCAGAACAGCTTCAATAACAGAATCATGTCTCAAGGAGGAGTTAGAGATTTTATTAAACTGTTTGTTAGAAATCACTAATTAATTATTAGTTAAGCCGACCCTCCTCACAACTCAAAACATCTGGAACCTCCTGTACGGCTCCTCTTCTTCATCCTGGGAGATTTGTGTTCTTCAGTTTCACATCCATCACGTGCTAGAAACCTCAGAGACACGCCCACTCGCTCACTGAGAAGGTTCCAGATGTTTTCCAGATATTTTCTCTCATAGACCCACTCAGATGTTTTACTAGAAGCTGAAGATCCAGAAAATGTTAAGAGACACTGACTCAGACATTTGTCCTCACATATAGGAACATGTGAGGAACATGCAGGAA